TAAAAAAATTCTTCAGACTTTACCACGTCTGTTTTAGGATTCTTCCTTGCAAAACCAAGGTGCCATCTCCAGTCTGTTTTTCCTGCAGCACAGTAAATTGCTACTGTTTGAAATGCTTGGAATAAAAATTCTGAATGAAATCCAAAAGAATATCCTGATTGCCAGGGGCTGTTTTCTCTGTCTTAGCCTAGATCAGTTTGACATAAGCCATTTACTTTATGGTTAACCCCAGAAAAATCCTGCAGGGAATAGAACTCCATGCATTAATCCTACTCACCAATTTAGTACCGCTGAGGTTTGGATGAAGGAGGTGCCACATTGCAACCCCGACCCAAATTTACTGCTTTAACAAAACACCACTCTGGAGCCCTCTGCGATCCTCACACAAACTCTTTATTGCAGAGCAGAGAAAGAGACACCAGTAAGTGCTGAGCATTACAATGAAACATAAAGCAGCATTAAAGTTGCTCCGTGGTTAATGCTGCGGTTTAAGCAGCTAATCTTGTTTCAGTTGAATGGCATGTTCATTACAGCAAATAAATCAGTAATGTGTAGGATTATTGAAGAGGAAAGACATATTAAACCAGTTTAAGGGCATCACATTGATTTTTTTATTTATTTCCTTCTAGTGTCTGATTTAGCTTGGCGGTTTTCTACAGTCAGTTCTAATAAACGCTTGTAGGGCACAGATTAAGCAGGTGGGAATGCTGCCCAGAAAGAGTATTATGAATAACTTAAGGCACTGGTTTAATTGCAGCAATCCATGATACTTACTGTGCTGGCACCAAAGGGGAACTTTTGGTATTAGAAGTTAAAACTTCAACCGAGCTATGAGCCAGTATCCCTCTTTTATTAAATATTTGAAAGAGCTTTCAAATATTTTCACGTCCGATGGGAATAGGGGAAGACTTCAGAGTTCATTTAACTTATGTCCATCACAGCTGAAGTTACTTTTAAAAACTAATTAGCGGTTTACTTGATGGAACTTTGCATCTCCAACATTGCAAAACACTGCAACAGCATCCCTGCCCAATCCCATTTGCAAAGATGCTGTACAGAAGGGAAAAAGCCTAAACCTAGCTCACACTTCAAGCAGCAGGCTCCTCCCAAAGCTATACTATGGAGTATTCCCATATTACTTCCCCACACTGCCAGTTCCCTAGCACTATCCTTGACACAGATCAGAAATTAGTAGGAACAACTTGATTCAGTTTTGGAGACAACCCTGATTGAGCAGAGACTTGAAGTAGGGCTGGCAGAAGGGGAAGAAACACTGTTAAGGCTGAGGTGAAAGAGCAAAGTGCTCCCCAGTGCCAAATGGCCTCCCCTCAGCATCAGCAATTTGTCTGCGTCCATGTATGTCAAAGGATACAGGCTCCTCAGAAAGGACAGGCAGGGGGGACAAAGGCTGGATGCCATCCTCTGTGTCAACAACCAGCTGGAGTGCATGGAGCTCTGCCTGGGGATGAATGAGGAACCAACCAAGAGCATATGGGTCAGGATTAAAGGGAGGGCAGGGACAGGTGACATAGTGAGGCCATGCAACCAGGAAGACCAAGTGGATGAGGCCCTCTACAGACAGGCGGTACCAGCCTTATGCTCACAAGCCCTGATGCTCACAGGGGAGGATGCCTTAGATTAGATCATGATCTCCAAGCTAGACACCGCATTTCAACTCTCAGCACAACAAACACAAGAGTACTAGTTCCACATACATCACCCTGGCTGACTCCAGCGAGTAGCAGCGGACACTGATCAGAATGATGCAAGAAGCAACGCTTCACAGAAGTTTCAGCATGTATAGGCTCCATGCTTTCAATATGTAACTTTTTACACTGGCAAAAAATACAAAAGGCGCATCCTGCACAAAGATGAGGCTGAAAATGCTTACACCAGCCAGCGCGAGAGGGAAAATTCACAACAAAATATGAACAAATATTGGTAAGTTACCCATACTCTGATTAGGAGTGCAGTGACTCTGCTAATCACAGAGCTCATCATTACAGAGAAACTCCATATTCAGCACATGAAAACTCATCTATAAATTAGCAGAAATGCAAGAAGATTTGATGGTACTCAATTAGCTGGACAGTAAGCATCAGAAACAAAATACTAGAACACTCAAGTCGTCTTGTGATTGCAGCAGACATTTATAAAGGGGGGGGGGGGGGGGGAAACAAAAACAAAAAACCCCAAAAGCAACCATTATAAAAAAAGAACTGGGTTTTGTTTGTCTTAAAGAAAAAGTCCCCTGCTTAATGCTGAACTGGAGTCCTCAGCTTGAAAAAGAACAAGAGCTTTATGGAGAGCCTTTGAAGCAGGATTACTTCAAAACCATCCACTTCAACAGCATTACACAACTCTGGTATCCTCCCAGAAGAAAGCAGTTGCTTTTAAGTAACTCAGAAGCAAGTCCCTGTTGCCATCCTACTACTTGTTCCCATTCCCAACCTGCACAGGCAGCCCACCCGCATGTCCTGTCACAGACCAGTGCAGTACCTGCGCTCAGCTGCTCCATCTCCCTGCTACAAATCCCCAATCTCACCTCAACCAATGAGCCAGTTTTCCCCCTTTCCAGCCCAGCTGCAATCAAGGCCCTATTTGTACCCTCTTTTCTCAGCATCTTTCAACCATGAACTACAACAGCTGCCTCCTCCTCTAGAACACATTGCTCAAGTGTGCTTAAAAAAAAAGACCAACACATTTCCACCCTCAGTTATGCTCTGAGCCTCTGCTCTACTCACTGGGTAAATCCCCCACACTTCCCACTTGCCCTTCTCCTGCGCTTACCCCCTTTCAAGTCCTTCTCCCAAGCATACAGGCAACCAGAACCATTCCTGCTTTTCCAGATTAAGCCGCACCTCACACACTGTCATTACAACTTCCCCAACCTTCCTGGAAGCCCCTTGCAACTGATGCACTGAGATTGAAGTTTCCCTTCGAGATATGCACATCCTACCACTAGTGCATGAGGCTGCTACCATCAGGTGAGACACCCAGCTCTCTCCATAGTGAGGCATTGCACTGCCATTTTTAAGGCAATCTTTCAGCTCAACAGCAATCCAACACTATGCCTGATGAAGCTGACAATGCAGGCAACTGAAATCCTGCCCACAGAGAAAGCAAGTTATCTCCACTAGCCTTACTCTCACACACACACACACACACACACCCCAGAAACTCCATTGCAACTACCAGGAGCCTTTCAATATGCTTCAGTAAGCTCTGAGTGAGCTGAAACTTCAGCCTTTCTCAGCAGTTGCAGTTCATTTGTTCCATAATTCAGCACAGCACTACTCTGAAAACATCTTTCTGATGCAGTTTTCCTGCAAATGGCATAATGAGGAATAATAAGCAGGTGCATCTGAACACAGACCCAGAACAGCAGGAATATAGAACGACTAGAAATGAAGCAATTAAGTAACCACACTGTTCACAGTTTATTGACAATCTTTATTAGAGCCGACTTTCCATGTTTAGAGGATTCCTAGGAAGTATAAATACGAATCAAAGTGCTACCGCACAGTAAGAAATCTTTATTTGCACAAAAAGATACAAACAACCAGGATTTCAAAGTCCATCCTATTTAGTACATGTAATACCAAAAAGGCAAAAAATAAACCAAGATGAAAGACTAGCAGCAAAAAGAATTCTAACTCTCCTTCAACACAGTCTGTGTTCTTCCACATTTCTTTAGGAAAGAGTGTATAAAGAGAATTCAAGCAATTTATATATGAAATATCCTACTAATATAACACTGTGTAAAGAAAGCCAGTAGTACAAAAGTTTGAAGAAAAAAAAAGAGGAGAAGATAGTAGACATAATATTAAAAATCTCAAGTGTAAACTTTACTGTTGCTTTAAAAGTAAAGACCAACCAAAGCCACACGAGTATTTCCGTTCGGCTCCGCAGCCAGCAAAATAAGAAAAGCTGATTTTTTTAATTTTTTCTTTTCTTTTTTTTTTTTAAAGTGCTTAACCACCATATCCAAAAGTAATGACTTTCAGACCTACTTAACATGAATGTGCTCAAAAAGCCACTGCTTACAGTATAAAAGCAGTCATTCTGAAATGCTGCACATACAAACTGGCTTTAAATGCACGAATGAAAGATTCCTTTGACCAGTTCTCAATCATATGATGTCCCAAATCAATGTAATGCTATTAAAGCAGGCAGCTGAATAAGTCCCAGAAAGTTGAAGAATAATAGATATAAAAAATAATCCTTTTTTTTTTAAAGGCAGCATGCCTCTCCCAGCCGCAAGAAGGTAACTTTACATAATAACCACGAGAAACACAGTTCTGCGCTATTGTTGTAAACTGACTGCTGACCTAGTAATTCATATGTTCAACAGAGGGAGATAAACACTTCTGACTGATAAAATACAAAAAGGCAATCGTGGGTGGGACCAAGCACGAACACGGTATTTTTCTCAATATTAAACATACTGTCAACTTGACTTAAGAGCTGTCAGCATGTCCTAACTCCATAAAAACACAAAAAAGTAAGGACAAGAAAACCAATGATTTGAACAGCTTTAGGAGTGTTGTTATATTTTTATACATTTATTTGAGCCTTAGTGCAAAGATAAAATTTAACATTGTAGGCTCCAAAGCAAGTCAAATACATAAGACTATTCCATAGTGGTTTTTGACAGACATCAGACACGCAGATTCCAAGAGAAATCTAACCTTTCGGCTGTAATAGCCATTCATTTTTATCTCAAGTTTAGAGAACCATTTCAAAAAGGCAGCAAAGACTCTGTCATTCACTAACCTCAACTACAGCTATAAATCGTTTCAACCCTGCCACTCTCCCAAATCAGTACTATAATAACCAGCCTGAACCATCGGCACTGCTGCAGCCACTGAATTGCACCCACAGCCTGTCAGCAGCACTACCCAGTGCTTATTGCCCAATCAGTTAATTGTACTGATTCCTCCATCAGCTTTGGAATCCTGCAAGCTTGAATTTGTTTACATTCATCTATTCCACAGGCCTTGTTTTCTTGTAAGAACTATTCCTGGAAAATTCAATTCCCAACACAGTACCTTCATTGTCCTTCAGGACAGTTTTTAAGTTAAAGAACCCCCTGGTTCATTTACCACTAAATACGTATTATCTAGAAAAGGAAGCTTTTCCCCAGAAAAAGAAGCTTTTCCCCCTATAAAGCTCCTGTAAACACACCTCAGTATTAAGCCATAGCAAGCTCTAGACCAAGAAATTCAGCATCTCCAGTGACTTGACTTTACCTCACTTCTCTACATAAACAACAAAAAAAAAACCAGAAAAAAAATCTCTTCATAATTAAAAAGGAAAGGAAATGACACAATAAAGAGACAAGGAGTGAAGCTTTTGGTTACCCGAACAGGCATCTAAAATAAGCCTCTGAAAACGTAACATATGGAAAGCAATGATTTTAGTGGTTGAAGTGTGCAAATGACTAAATATGCCGTCTGTTTCAGAGATAACCGAATACTGTAGTCATTGATGATTAACTATTCTAGTCCAGCACTGGCAGTTCTGTTGCTTTTGTTGCTGGTTTTAGACATTCTATCCCATCACTTTCTCTGCATATTTCATGCCTTTTTGCCTTTTTTTTAACTGATACCAGCAACATGACTTGAGAGGAGTATAGGAAAGATGGGAATGTTTTTTAAAGATTTCCTGTCCATCCCAAGACTGGCAAGACTGAGTATTATGGAGAATTAAACCTAATGTTTCAAGCAGGAACATCAAATATTATTTCAAGTTTTGTCTGTCTACAAAAATCACCTCAAAAAGATTCTGCATCTTAGGTTTCTGGGAAGCAAATAAGATAAATATGAAAAAAGACTATGCAAGAGAAGTGTAGCTACTCTATTGATGAGAAGTACAAAAGCTTAGAAACAGAAAAACACCAGCTTCAACTCAAGACTGAACGGAAAAAATCCACAGATTTTTCAAAACCAGAGTCCATACAGTGTCACACAGCCCTGCCTTGTCATGTTTGTTAATATGCTCGCTTAGAAGTCAGACAGCATTTTGTTTAACTTGTGTTGCTCTGTATCATTACACTAAACCATAATTAACTCCTCTTTTGTGCCGGCCTCATTCCAACACAATTGTACCCACTGTATACCAGCAGCAGTTCTCAGGTTTTGTTTCGCAGCTCAGCTGTATTTTTCTTGGATGTTCACAAGACTGGCATTTGACTGGATGCGCTTGGCTAGAAAGGGAAAAATTATATGAAAATTAAACACAAAGAATTCCACAAAACTAGTCTCTCCACTCCCTCTATTTATCCGACACAGACTTGCAAACAGCTTTCTGTTCACGTCCAGAAACTTTAATGAAAAGATATGGCTATAGCTCTTTACTACCCTTCTTCAGGGGACAGCAGCAGACTAATAGTTGCTATTAGCGCCGTCAGCACAGCTGCAGGCAGATCTGGCTGGGCCCCCACTCCCACAAGAGCCAAGCGAGTCCCTGGCACCACCCAGCTCTCATAGTGAAATGCCAGCACCATCACTTACGCAAAATGAGTATCCGCTTCTTCTGCTTTGAGTGAAGGAAGCTACTAAGATAAAAAACAATAGGTAGGAAGAGAATAAAGGATGAAACTGCAATCACTGGGACTGTATCACTGCAGGGAACAGAACAGTTGAAAGTCCTACTCCAAAGCTTCCGAGTGATATTCATCTAAAAGAAAAAAACATAAGCAAGCCATGAAAGCAAGCACATGCACTTCTGCTGTGCAGCGTGGCAAACATTCAGGTCTCAAGACATTCAAGTGTTCAAGTATTATCTCAGAAAACAACACTTTAACAGACCTCCCCCCAAAAGCAAGCAAATCCCCAGAAATGTAGAAACAGACAATTAAAATGAGCCAAAATTTCACATCAAAACTTTTAAAAGCCTCAAAAACAGACTGTACTCAGAAACACTACAGACATCACACATGCCCGTTTCCCAGAGAACTCACTAACAGATTACAGGGACAGGGCTAATCCCACGCTTTCAACAGCGCTCCTTTTGCCCAAACCACTTAAAACCCCACAATATAACAAAGCTGTTTCCAAACATGTCGCCAACGCCAAGGACCCCTAGAAACAGCTGCTGTAATAAGGAATCAATTATTACACTAGCCAGAACAATAGCAGTAAAGCTTCACAGAAGATAAAGGGATTATTTTTCTTTAAATCCATCCCCTTCACAGAAACAAGACATGGAACTGCAGCTACTCAAACGGGAATGCACTTGGGTGACCAGAAGCTTCAGTTACACTCCTGCCACACTGACTGAGGACAAGACCAAGATAGCCCCACAAGATAGCCCCACAAGCTAACTTTCCCGACAGGGCATGAGCCTGTCAAAAGCACTGCTGCCAAGCGTAAAGGGAAAAAGCAATCCCTAGCAAGACAAGCACAAATGACTTGGACTAATGGAGACCTCCACAACAAGGTCTCCCTGTCGAGTATTAATAAATACTTACTGCATCTTCCACGTCAATACACAAGTGTGCGGAGTGCCCAGACTCACCACCTTGCCTGTTCATCCTTTGCAAGTTGTTATACAGGTCATTCAACATCTTGTAGGTTTCATTGCAGTTTTTACATACTTCTGTGTAGTTATTTGGTGACAGATGGATGGTTTGTCCCTAGGGTTACAAAACTCTGTATGAATGCTGTTTTAACACATTATTTAAAAAAAAAATTAAAGATGTTTAAAAAGCCATCACTTAAAAACTAGACTCGAGTTTTGAACCAAAATCCTGATTTATAGCATCCTAGATTGAGTAGAGGCCCAGATGGAAAACTCATATGAGAAAGCAGGAGGAAAAGGGACCAACCCTAATTCAGTAGGGACAAGTTCCATTTCCTGCAAGTTCTGCATCTCAAATTGTTCTTTGAACTAGCAGTGAGGTTTTTTTATTTAAATGGTTATTTTTATAATACCGGTACTCAGGAAGAAAAAATAACTTACTAATAATTGAATGTTACTCTGAAGCCTGAGCTACTGTGTTCCTTCACTGTCTTTTGGTTTTATTTGCCCAAACCTAACAACTGGTAGGTTGCAACTGCTGAGCTACATTGACAGGGACAGATACTGCAACCCAGTAATGGTTGTACCAGCTACCAACCAACCACTGAGTTAAGTTCCAGTTCAGACACTTGAAGTGACCAGCAGGCCAGGCCACATTGCTCCTGACCAAAGTCAAAAGACGTATTTCCTAGAAATCATTAATGATTAAAAAACGCCAACAGTTTCCTCAGAGATCAGCCTACAGACATCATTTCCCATTTTTACTACTGAACAACTCTGGAACTTGGCTAGTTTCTGTTTAAAATGGAATATGCACAGTTTCTTAGGCTATTTAGGCGATTTTCTTTAAGGACAATTACCACATTTATTTCACTAAGTTATACTGCCTCTGCAATATGGACAAACTTTAACTACCCATAATTTTACTAGTCAAAAGAATTGTTACAACGATTTGAGGTAGCTGGTCTTTCTGAACTAGTCTATATTATCAAAAGGTTATTTAAAGATTTAATTAAGGTAGAAGACAACAATTCCACAAAGATATAGGAAAGGAGACTTACAGCATGCAGACTTGCCAGGATTTACTATATAATTATCAACTATTGTGAATTCAGAAATTCTGATGTGAAGTAGCACTGCAATTACATATAAAATTAAGTCAAGGTAAATATCAATTACAATCAATTTGATGCTCTCAATCTGTAGATAACTGTGTTTAACAGATCATTGCTTTATCTGCCTAAAATTCTCAACTCACCAGCAATTTATTTGCCTAATCTGTATCTGCAGTTTATTCAGCATAAGTAAGATTTTGCTAGCAATTAGAGGATTCAGTGCTTCTCTGAAGTACACAGCATAAATTACCTGAAGGTTATGTTCAAAACATGTCAGAGATTTATTGAATAAATCCAGGAATTCTACAGTAGAATTTGATAATCCCTCACTGTTGTTCTTTAAACAATCTGTCAAAGAGAAAGAAAAACATCAGGATATTCTAATTTCTAACATTCCATAGCCAACAAGCCTCAGATACTCCACTCCTGCAAAAAAAGAGCTCTAGTCAACACTGTGGTTTTCTTATCTGCCTGCCACTGATGTCTCAGACCCGCTGACCTAACTCTTCATCGAGAACATATTTCAGAATTAATTGGCCTTGATTAAGTGAAAGATGAAGACTATCATCAAGAGCTTTCTGAAGAGGGGATCGGAATTATCTTTAGACTTGAAGATAAAACAAGACATTACTTTTATTTTCTAGCCCGCAAATCTGGCTTTGCCCAGCAACAGTAACAGCCATTTTGTGAAAGCAGAAGCACCAGTAGCGAAGATGAAACAGAGAGCGTCAGGAAACAGCTAGACCATGAACACAGTAGTAAAAACCAGAGTGCAGGTTACTGTTGTTTAAGAAAAGAGTTGACCATTTCACCAGCTCTGAGGGGACCTCTAGGGCTTTCCTCCCAGACATGGGCTCAACCCTACCATGTTACTGCTTCCATCCACCCCACTTCAGGTGTTCTAACTGGTCAGACCCTTGAAAACAACAGCAGTTTGGGAATTTCAATGTTCAGCAACAGCACTGCAAGAGCAAGCCAACATCCTAGAAAATTCTCCTGAAACAAGGAAGCACCATCAGTACTGAGGGCAAGCATTCTGCTGGACACCAAGCAGGCAGCGCATAGGTCACAGATTAAGCACAGCAGGACAGCACAGCCCACAATGCTGCTCCTGTACTGCCTTTCCACCCCTCACAAAGGAAAAACTCTTCTGGGCTCTCAAAGGAATTTGCAGCAAACACAGCATCTTTAACACTCAACTCCATAGTGCTTTTCCCCCTGTTTTCCAGCATAGGATCCCACTTCCCACACCAGGGGAATGGCAAAAAAGCCACAATTTAGCTGTAAGCATGACACAGCACCATCAGCATGGGCACAGGGAGATACAGGGATAGACTTGGACACACTCCACCTATAAAATGAAATCAAAAGCACGGCTGTGGAGCCAGGTGCTGTTCAACAAACACAAGTATCCCAAAGTTACTGACTTTACTAACAAATAAAAGTTTCTTATACAAGTCTTTTTAAAAAGGGGGAAGATGGAGAAGAAACTGCAATGAAGCCAAGAAAAGTCTCTGGTAAGGTCTGTAGGTCACAAAGAAAATGAACAAGACTAATTTTTGAAAGAATAGTATAAAATAAATCTTCATGTAACAACTAAGTTTTCTGACAGGCCAGTGCCCTTGGATTTTGGTAGTATCCTTTAATGAATAAAAAGCTCCTGTACCCTTCTTTTGAGTGGCTTTAGTTCAGACTTTTTGTGTTACCTACTGACTGTATTTAAACAAGCACGTATAATTTTGCTCAGCACAAATTTCAGGAACTAAGTCATAACAGTAGCATGAAAGCTACAGAAGGAGTCACGTACTTGGACAGTTGGCTGCCTCCCAGGTTTCATTGAAGAAGTCAGAAAGGGTCACAACTATTTGTAGCCTGTCTGAGGTCAAGATGCTTTTGGCACAATTGTGGCTCTCAGAAGAATTCTGGAAGAAAAAGGAAACAACAGAGAAAGCAGTCAGGTGTTAGCAATACAAAGAGAAAATTCTGAAATGTATTATAGGCAATCACAGCTAAAACAATCACAAACATTTCTAGAACAGGCAGAGCAACTGACGGAACAATAAAAGTTTCTTGTTCTTCCAATTCATGCTACGAGCAGCATAGCTCACTGCACATGGTCTCTGAAGATCTACTAAGACTGTATACAAGTCAGTCAAAAAAATAAAAGACCAGCACAAAGGCAGGTCCTCTTATGCCAGGTAGTTCATACCCATCCACTTCTGGGTTGCTGACTCAGAAGCCCACCCAAGGCACATGCAGTCAGAGAGAAAGATGGTGGTGTTCTTATTGGACTGAAGAAACATTTGAAGAAGCTGAACCAAGGGACTGGCCTCAAAATAAAGCAAACCCAAACAGCAGAAAACAACCTGTGAAACCCCTGTACCACTGTGCTGTATCAGCAGCAAACTTCCTCCCAGTGCAGCAATACTAGGAGCACAGTGTTCTGTGGCGGCACCCCCCAGCCTGTAGCCAGGCTGGGCGCTTGCCCTCCCAAGAAAACAGGTACCAGCTCATCTGTCTTAACCAGCCACCCAACACTCCCCGGCCCCAACTTCAAAGCAGGCACTGGCACAACTCTTACAGCAACTTATTCTCTGGACCAAGCTCATAAAACACAGAGCGACTATAAAAGCAGTTACAGAACAAACAGAAAGTATTCCTATCAAAATTCACAACAAGGTTTTTCTCCCTCAAAGCTTTATTTTCTCCTTCAAATCACCAATACAAAGCCATGACCTCCAGTCAGCTGACTCCTGTGCTCTAGCTCCTGGTTTCTGGCTGCTAAGTTGACTTAAGCACTTCTCAAAATTGCCAAAGCTGTCAAAAGCCTCTTTGATAAGTGACGTGGGACACAGAAGAAAATAATCTCTTTAATGGGAGAGACGTTCCTGTTTACAGAGCTTTAAGATTCAGTTTCTGCCTCCCTTTGTTAAAATAGGCTTATTTTTTAAGCAGGAAGTTTGCCTTGAGACTCAGCTGCAGAACTAGACTATCACCACATCTGCTAACTCTGACATTCACCCACTTTCATTTCTACCAACTTACACACAACCATGCAAGAAAGTTGTTCATGTGGAAAAACTCTCCAGTTGCTTCATAAAGACCCTTAACTGTGAAACTTCCTCACCAGATGGACTCATGAGTGGGGAAACAGCACTTTAAATCCAAAACTGGAACAAGTAGGCCTGTATCATGACTTAAATACATGTGGCTTATTTATTTCTTTAATTAGCTGACTGAGGAGGATTTTACATTTCAGGGATGTCCAAACTTAACCTGGCTGCTACTTTCATGCTGCACTATACCCACTGTAGGATGGCAAAGATAAAACCATCAGATATCTGATTACTTGTGATGGTGGACTGAGGCTGCAAGAGCTCACTTCCTTTATTTACTTGGTTACTTAAAACCACACACAGAAGGAAAGCCAAATACTCTTTAATACAGATGTGCCTTCCAGACCACACAGGGGACCAGTCCTCCCAGGCTGCCACTACTCAAGAACAGCAGCTGTAATGAGTTCGTAAGTACTGCAAGCACTGGAATATGTTTGGCAACCTAATCCTAGCCAAAACATCACTCTGAAAATACCCAAGGGAATTACATACTCAGTTTCTCACTTTGCCATTACTTAGTCACTGATATGAAGCAGCTTCCTTATTAGAAACAAATAAAACAACTACAGGTCTACAAACTAAAAGAAGAGAGCACTGGCAAGATGTCTGCCCTGGAGAGCACAATTATCAAACGAACATCCATGCGCTTTCCCAATACAAGCACTGAAGTGGTGTAGGGAAATGAGCAGACAACACATCAAAACCAGAATGACACTTCTTCACACGCCAGGTAACTGAGCTACGAAATGGCCTGCAGCAGGACGCTGCAGCTCCAGAGTTTACCTGGATTTAAAGGGCAACAAATTTTTCTTGTCAGTAGCGATTCTAAATACAGATTCAGAAATCCCAAGACTGGAAGCATAATCCAGGGAACTATAAACTTGCTCTCTGCTTGTCCTCTTACCAGGCTACCCCCTTCTAGCCATCATCACAGAACAGACAAAGGTTCTTTGGTCTGATGATCAAGAGTGTGAAGAATGTAAACAGAAGACCCAGCTTCAGCCAAGGTTTCCCACTGGTGGGATCCACAGACTCCAGCCAGCACACAAGACTTCCTAGTTTGCTGCCAAGACACTCCCGTCAGCTTTGGAGGCAAAATCACTGTGACGCAGCCCCCCAAGGATGATGTGCATCACTGGCCACAGCTTCAGGACCATCAATTTTCCAAGTGCCACGCAACTGAGCTCTGGCAGTGTTCCTCACTGGTGCTATATATAACCAGTGAGCCAGAGTGCTGCTTTAGCCACTGCTACATCAGCAAGAACAACTCAAGTTTTTCCACTTACAGAGCCTTTTTTCTGCAGGTGGAGCAACTTGCCCCAGACCATGCCACAGGCTGGTGGCTCAGACCATGCTTTGACTGGATCCAGTTCAGGCAGCAGAGGCCTGCTGTCACTGACAGCAGTGCTTTCCAAACACCCCCAGCCCCTGCTGAACTGCCTTACACACCTGTTGGAGTTCACAGGCTAGGAATTAAGCTTTGCAGGCTGGAGATCCGCTTACTCAGAACACGGGTGCCCTGCTCTCGGCGTGTCAAAGGTCACACCACCAACCGCACCAGGCCCGGCCTGACACACGCCACCCCTCCTTACCCCAGCACGCAGCCGGGAGAGATACCCGTTAACAGGCCGCAGGGGCATCGAAGCAGCGGCGCCTCGGCAGGGGGCCCGCCCGCCCGCTTGCCTTGCCGGGGACTCACAGCCATTTGCGTAGGGCCCAGCGGCGCGCTGGCACGGGACTTACCTGCCTGGAAGCCTCAAAGAGGCTGCCCAGGCCCCCAGCCCGGCCCCAGTGCAGCAGGAACAGCCGCACGCTGCCCCCCTCCAGCCCAGAGCAGCCTGGCAGCCCCCTCACCCGCCCGGGCCCCTGGACGCACCCCAACGGCACGGGCGATGTTGCCGTACTGTGCGAGGAGGTGCCGGTAGTAGGGGTGGCAGGCCTGGCACAGCCGCACCGGGCGAGCGCTGCGGCCCAGGCAGCCCGTCAGCGCCGCGCTGCCCTCCGCGAAGTCGGCGAGGAGCTGGCGGCACTCGGGCTCCAGCTCGGGCAGGTCTCCGGGCAGCCCCGCCCCCCACAGCTCCTCCGCCAGCTCCTCCGCCTCGTCCAGCGCCGGAAGCCGGCGCGACCCCACGGCGGCCGCGAGGCCGAGAGCCAGGGCGGGCAGCAGCACCGACCAGGGCAGCGGCGCCATAGCAGCCGCGCCGAGGAACCGGAAGTGCCGCACCAAGAAGCATCCCGCCCCTGCCGCTTATCGCCGCGGCTCATTTGCTGCGGCGGGGAGGGGCGGGGCAAGGGGCGGGGCTGCAGCAGCGTGTACCTGGTGCTGTTGGGGGCGTACCGGGGTCCCGCAGTGCTCTGTGCGGAGCGAGGTCGGCGTCACCCGGCAGCGTGCACTCGTAGCGCAGGCACCCAGCCGTGTCCTGCGCTGCACCAAAACAAGCGTGGCTAGCAGGTCGCGGGCTGCGATCCTGCCCCTCCGCTCCGCTCTCGCAAGGCGTAATGGCTTTAAACTGAAAGAGAATAGATTTAAGTTAGATGGAAGAAATTCTTCACTGTGAGGGTGGTGAGACGCTGGAACAGGCTGCCCCATCCCTAGCACTGTTTAAGGACAGGTTGGATGGGGGCCAGGAGCAACCTGGTCTAGTGGAAGGTGTCCCTGACCATGGCAGGGGGGTTGGAACTGGTTGAGCTTTAAAGTCCCTTCCAACCCAAACCATTCTATGATTCTATGAAAAGGGGATTTAAAAGTATCTGTTGTATGCGAAGTGACTTTAAAATACGGTGAAAATACAGCGACAATTAGAAAAAAAGTCCCAAACCAAAGAAAGAGTTGATGAGGGACGAACAAAACATCTTTCTGCAGACAAAATGTTTCCAATGTTTTACCTCACACTGAACACCTTTGTTGGTACTTGGCCCCAAACTTTCGCATGGCCACTTCTGGATAAAACCACAGACACTAAAGGAAAATAGGGGTGAGTACAGCAGCAGGTAACCCCTTCTCCAGGGGCTGTATCATAGAATCAAAGAATCATAAACTGGTTTGGGTTGGAAGGAACCTTAAAAATCATCTCATTCCAACCCCCCTGCCATGGGCAGGGACACCTTCCACTAGACCGGGTTGCTCAAAGCCCTGTCCAAGCTGGCCTTGAGCACTTCCAGGGATGGAAGTGCCAGGCTGTCTAATAACCCTTCTGTTTCACAGGACCTTGCCCGCATGCCTGCTCCGTCTGACTAAAGCTTTTTACTGAGTTGGGGTTTCTTAGTGCTCTGGTCAGATATACATTGGAGAGGCAGAGCAGACCTCCCCAGCTCTATGCTATGGTGCCTTGGGAATAACGGAGCTGAGCAGGAATGGCCTCATCCACTTCTTGCAGCTGGTTGAGTATTGCACACGTGATACTGGTGACAGGAGGCAGCACTGGCTGGTGGTGGCATGACAGTTGTGGCAGCTGCCAGGAGTTCAGCGCTGCTTGAACCAGCTTCCTGTGCATCCAGCTGTACCCACCTCAATATCACCTGGCCCTCCTGGTGTTAGCTTGTTCCAGTCCTGCAGTAAACATCACACTATGGAACTATCCAGGATGGATTTGTACTGTCAGGTGAAAACATATCAGCAAAGGTGATGATGATAAAGATGCCATCGGGCAGGCAAAGAGCGACCAGCAGAGAGCATCTGACTTCTCTGAGTGGGCTGAATAGCTCAGCTGTGAAGAAATGGCTTTCAAAGTAATGAATGAAAACTAATGAAAATAATGTAATGATTATGACACAGAGAATGACAGCATGGTCAAAAATGTGCCAGATTGCCTGTACTTGCAGATTGATCGCGGTGAGGGCCCTGTTTTGGGCGCTGGACTTTTCCTGAGCCCTACTGCCTAGTCCCTGAGCAGGCCTGGCTGTGGTTTTGGCCAAAGCCAGGCAATACCTTCCCGCACATCTCCTGCCGGTTTGAGGACCTCATCGGGCAAGGCCACCCCATTTGAAAGCCTGAAGCTGCTTAGCTGGTGGCCATAGGGCCCCTCTGCCCCGCACTGCACCACCCTGGGGGATGGGCGGCGGGCAGATAGGCAGGCAGGAGGGCAGGCAGGCAGGAAAGAAGGGCCTGCCCTCATCCCCCCAGGAGAGGGCAGCAGTACTCCCGCGCATCATCCCACCGAGGGGCAGGAGGGCTGGAAAAGGCCCTCGGTGTGTCCCACCCCGCCCTGCCGGTATCTGCATCCCTGAGATGGGGAGCGATGGGAAGACCTCCCCCCGGACCAGTCGCTTGCCATCCTCACCGGGGCTCTCCCTGCCGCGGGCCTTGGACCGGTTGGCGCGGGGAAAGAGCGGCGTCCTCTTCTTGGCGGGTCGAGGAGGTGCTTTTTCCCACGTCTTGAGAGATGTTAAACGTTCTCCTGCAGAAGAACATGCTCTTCTTGCGAATGGGAAACTGGCCGCGGGGGGAGATGGAAAGAGGAGGAGAAAAGGGAAGAAAAGGGAAAAAAAGAAGGGGGAGGGGGGGGTGTAAAAAAAATACACAAAAAAAGAAAAGAAAAAAGCAGGAAAAGAAAAGAGAAAGAGAAAAAGAAAATAAAAGGATGAAGAAGAAGAAGAAAGAGGAGAAAAAGAAGAAAAATAAGAAGAAATAAAAGGAAAGAAAAAAGAAAAAGAAAGACAAAAAAAGAAAAAGAACAGGAAAAGAAAAAAAAGAAAAAAAAAAACAAAAAGAAGAAGAAAAAAGAAAACAAAAAATTAAAGATGAAAAGGAAAAGAAAGAAGAAAATAAGAAAAGGAAAATTAAAAAAGAAAAATCAAAAAAAGGGGAAAAAAGCTCAAGAGTTTTGGAAGACATCTCTGAGGCATAACAAGAATACAAACGTTTCTGGCATTAATAAATGCATTGCTGCGTACCTCTCAGGAAGATGTCTGGTCATGAAGCACTTCATATATTTATCAATAATGAACACGACATTACAAAGCAAAGTCAGAAAGTCACTAACTTTTCCAGCTGTGTTTCAGAAACAGGGCCTGAAGGCAGCATGGTCCTCCTCTCTGATAATAGATTAACTTTCTTGTAGTGGACAACTTGTCTGTCAAGAAACCTTGGTTAGTTTTCTTGTACAAGTACTGCCATTACCTTTCTGCTCAGCTTCATCAAAGGGGTCATACTCACAACTAAAGCAAGCAGGATTTAGCCTTGACCAGCAAATTTCAGAACTAACTTTGTTATTATTTATCAGAAGTCTTGTGTGGTTATATAGTCCCAGTTATCCTTGTAAACACATCCAAGTATTTCAGTACCTCCCTGACTACAGGTAAAGGTGTGTGTCATTCAGCAGAAGAGTCTTACCTTAACAATGTAGAAACAGAACACAGCAAATGAATATTGATTTCCTATGCCATCTTGCTGGATCTATGGAGACAGAAGTATGAATAAGGGAAAACGAGCAGTTTGAAGCTGTGAACCTGGTTCTTCCTTCTGTTTGTCTCCCTGTTGCCTTCAGTGTCCTTTCTCCTGTGATTTGTGCTATTGTGAGCTGAGAACCGAACAGTTTTTTCAATTTTTAGTATTATCTTCAAGGAATGATGGCTCAGATAAAGCTTTTAAATCAAAGGGCTGGAAAAGCAGAGACAGACCATAAATGTCAAAGCAGTATCAGAAAATTAAGTGATAACCTGAATGTAAGGAATGAAGAGGGAAAGGAGTCAGGGACAACGGGGAGGTTGGGTGCCCGGGGAGTGCGACAGCCTTGGGAAGTGAGACTGGGCAGGCAGCAGTGCAGAGGGCAGGAGGAAAGGGGAGAAGGGGCTCTGCCTCCTGAGCCAAAACTGCTGCCCTGAGACAGACTGCTCATCATCTGAAACACAGCTCAGCAAGAGCAGGGAGGTGTGAGAGCTGTTCATGACGGGTGTCTCTGGGGTTGTGGAAGTGGAAACCTTTTTTTAGTATTGACCAACTTCATTGCAAAGAGGAGAAAGCTCAACATGAGTGAGGGATCAGTGTGCTATGAATTCCCTGCACAACCATCCCTTGCCAATGGAAATCCTCTCTTCCCTATCTCCATTGCAGTTCTGCGTGTCCCTATTAATTCATAGGGCCAACGCTGCCTCCTTCATGTGCTGGTCGTGGCTGACGAAAAAGCTTGACAGTGGGTCATGCAATTTAATGGCTGTTTTCCAGACTCCACAGAGCATCCGAAAATGGTCCAGAAGACAGCTGCACATAAGTAATTAATTAAGGGCATGCACACATCTCCAGCACAGCCAAGAAAATGAACTTGGGACAAAATAAATATGCTGAGTAAACTATCGTCATGTTGATGCATTTTTGGTTAGTTGCAAGTGAAAATCATCCCGACAATACTGTTTAATGGTCTGAGCCAGTTCCTATTTTCAACAGATTATGTGAGCTTTGTTTAAAAATTGGTTGACAAACCATGCCTGTTAGCATTGTCCCATTGGAGCATTGTCTTACTGTGTGTGTAGCAAAGAATTTGAAAGCCTTTTCAACTCAGGGCAAGATGACAGAGTCACATCTCCACTAAAGCACAAAGAATTAGCAAAATAATAAAGGGGGGGGGGGGGGGTGAGAACCCAGACCAGTTGATTTACAATCATTTCAGAGGAACCCCAAAATTTATCAGTGGCTTTGCAAGTCAGATGCCAAATCCTGTCCTCCAGCCTTGGGCACTTGAAAGCAATAACGCTTCATCAGCTACTTGGGAATCAAGGAAGGGTCAAACACTTGAAGTGTGAAGACACACTCAGGAGCACCATTCTCTGGGTGAGTACACGAAATTACTGTCACCAACTAGAACTTTAAAAATTTCAAACTTACAGATAATAGGTGTCAGTGCCTCATACACAATGTTTTTTTAGAAATACTCTGCAAATTCAAGGTTTATTCCCTGAATTACTAAATGAAATGAGGAAAGACTATTAACATTAAAGTTTCCTGAAGAGCTGTTGACTAGATTTAGTGTGCCTGTCTGGACATCTCAACCAGGATCTGTAATGAGTTTATCTTGGTCAATTATATGGCAAATTGTATATTATATGGCAGACGATTTGCTCACCTGATCCAAACTACCACATCCTCATTTTAGAGAATCATGAACCTCCTCCATGTCAGAGTAAGGTTTGATCAGAGTTAGATGCCACCTGGTACATCCAGCTCCTCCTTATGGCTAGCTGGTTCACCTATGGGGA